CGGTATATACTCTCTTTTAGAAGCATTATGGTCGCAGATGCATTTGACCAATTCATTGAAGCAAAAGGATGCCCAATTCTTCTTCGGAATGTCTGCAACATCGGTGACAGCGTATACCGAAGACAAGGAAATGTCCTCTCTTCTAGTTGGTACTAATAGCACCCCCATTACGTACAAAATAAACATTTGAAGAAATAGATCGTCGCTATCTTTCATCTTCGACAACTCCTTCTGCATTAAGCTTGTGGAAATCGCCTGTCGGCCACAATCACGTGTCGAAAACACTCTAAATGGTTCCAGTTCCTCTGATCTTCCCTCCACTTCTTCACCATTCAAGATGATATCAGTACCTCCCTCAGGCACACCCATAATTCGCGCGAAATCTTTGGCCGAAATATGCACTTCCAACCCATACGCCTTAATTGTGCTTTCTTCCAGATTAAAGCTCTTCACAAGTTTCTCCAACAACTCACGTTGTAGCTTTCTTGCTTTGACTTCAAGAATACGACCAAAGCCACATCTCCTAATGGCATCTGATTGACAAGCCTCTAAATTTGAGACTACTGAGAACACTTTCCTAGGAGAACATCGCGTGCTGAAAATTTGATGCCTCTTCGTCTTCATTATAGAACAATTTTAGCAAACTGCAAAATTAAAACAACAGAAAAATTATAAGCATGCCTTGAAACACGAATTATAAGCATGCCGAAGAGTACAAACAAAATACAAGTTCTAACTACCAGAAGAACTGAAAATCCCCTACATCAACACCTGAGTACACTAATTAACCATGAAAACACCCAGCTTTCATTAATTTTCACCCAAAATGCAAAATCTCACGGCCATGACATGACCCGTGAGAAGCAAAGAGAAGTTTGCATATCTCCAGACAATCTCCAGACAATCACACGGCTTATTCTCACGGCCGTGAGAATTTACAAAGGGGCCGTGAGAATTTACAAAGGGGCCCGTGATAATTTACTGAGGGGCCGTGAGAATTTACAAAGGGGCCCGTGAGAATTTACAAAGGGGCCGTGAGAATTTACAAAGGGGCCCGTGATAATTTACAAAGGGGACCGTGATAATTTACAAAGGGGCCCGTGAGAATTTACAAAGGGGCCCGTGAGAATTAACAATGGGGCCGTGAGATGCCCATCATCCATATCCAAAAACACGGCTCATCTCACGGCCGTGACACTGTCGAAGGCAACCCGTGAAAACCTCTGGGAAACTGAGAAGTGTGTTTTTACATACACGGTCTATCTCACGGCCTATCTCATAGCCGTGATATTTCCAGAATTACATCCACGGTCTCTCTCACAGCCGTGATATTTCCAGAAACCACACACAACTTACAACTTTTGAGAGCTAAATAACATGACCACGAGCATAGCCACTAAGCTTTCCATAACCCATGACACCACCATAAACACTCGCTCTATTTCCATCCAAACTGGCTAAAACTGAAGTCACCCTGATTTCATGAAATAGTTCTTGACTAACACACTCAATTGCACCTTTCATGCAGCCAAGCAAGACCCTTCAATTAACAGTCCAAAATGTAATCAACAAGCAACGGTAACGACACTACAAACTGAAAATAATCAAACTGAGTATGAACTTTCCTATTCGATTTGCCTCCATAAAACACAAATCAAGTCTCTCCAATCAAAAACCCATTCCTTACATCCATAAAACCCAATCAAGACCAAAGAACTAAAGAAGCAAGCAGAACAACCCCAGCACAGTTATTCTCTTCAGTTTGAAAGCAAAGGCAACAACGAAATGAACAACCCCAGCACAGTTTATGGGATTATATAAACCAAGACAGCTTCCTAGTTGACACTGAATCCTCCATTCACAAATACCTCCTAGGTCACATCAACGATCTGTGTGAGGAATGAAGTTATATGGTGGATGGCCACAACTATTTGCACAAAAAAGTGCAGACTTTCTGAAGCTTCATCAATCACGGAATGACTAAAGATGCCCCCATCTCAATCAAACTCGGCCGTGACAAAATACAGCACAACCAAGAACTACACTTGAGAGAGCTTCAATACTCATTGCACAAGACGTTAAAGCTAAAGAGATAGACAAACCAAATCACAGAAGAAGACACTGGAAAAGATGGAGCACATCAGAATTCCCACTTCACACAACTGATAAAACCGAGAGAGGGAAAGGAATATTGCATCTTATATCACCATATCCAATTGAGAATGCACATGAAGAAAGCAGTGGAGAAGCTTCAATTTCAATCCCAAATGGTTACACAGAATTGAGAAATTCTCTCTTCTACTTCCATAGTTCAATTTGGTAAAACGAGCATGGAATTTCAATCCTATGATTTGGCAACCGATCCTTAGTAGACAACTTGACATTTCCAGAGAAATAAGTCAGACATTCAAAGACACCATTATTGTACTCGAAGCTGCTCCAACAAATGCTCTAGAAGCTAGAAGCTAGAAATTGAATGTTTATCAAAGGGAGATAAGAATTTCAGCCACTTACATCGAATGAATGACTGAGTCGTCGTTTCAAATCGGAAATCGAATGCTTTATCACCCAATTCTCGCTATTGCAGGAGTTCTCCTACCCGGCGCTAGTTGACTCGTCGTTGTCGATTGGGCTTTTCGAGTCTTTGATTCCTTCGGAGTCTTCCTCCAGTAAAAGAGTCTCTGCCACCTTCAGAATTCAAGTCCTCTTTGTCGTCGCCACTGCTCACCCCCTTTACTATCTACGAACAGACCCACCGCGAAACACAATCCCAGGAGAGGAAAGTTGAAAAACGATCAGACCCACCGCAAAACACAATCCCAGGAGAGGAAAGTTGAAAAACGATCAGACCCACCGCACAATCTCACCGTTTCCGTCGCCGATGCTCAAGCCCTTCAATATCGACGAAGAGACCCACCGCGGAAGAGCACAGTTCACAATCGCGAAAGGGTTCCCCCAATTTCTTTCTTCTCACAACGTCGCTGTCGCCCTAGATGCAGGTTCGCCGTCGCCGTCGCACTATTTCAAATGCAGGTTCGCCGTCGCCGCGGAAGAGACGCTCTGAAATTCCACCTCGGAAGAGAAGCTCTGAAATTCCACCGCGGAAGAGAAGCTCGATCGCCTTTTTTTTTTGATGCAGTGAAGGGTTTCTGTTCGCCTGGATTTCAATTTTTTTTAAAATGATTGTGTAATGAACCGGTGCAACAGGTTACCAGTCCACAAGTGAAAATAATAATAATTAAATAATTTCAATCCAATGGCTGATATTTTATAACAAGATCTAATGGCTCTAAGTATATTAAAGCATGGGTACTATATAGCATACTATATATCACACCAGAATTGCTCTGGCGACCTCCAGTGTGAGGATTTGCGGCATCGTCGCCGGAAGAAGAATCATGAATCGCCATAGGAGGACGATCGCAAGAACTCAATGGAGAAGGAAGAGAGAGATGCGGAAGCGAGAGTTTGAGGCGAAAATCGGCTCAGAGGAGCTCTGATACCATGCTAGAATTCTGAATGAAAATCTTGTTTCTCTTTATTGAATGAATGAATCGTACAGAGTTCAGTAGAGAAGACTGAATTTATACTCTGTTCTACAGGAGGGAAAGTTAGTTACAGTCCTAACAACCTAGACAAATTACACTTTGATCCTATTTACATTTATTCTACCTACACTAATCCTAATCAACTATGTTAATTACAGAATGATACCTATATCATCTAATACGGCCGGCCATGGCGATTTCAGTCCGGAGAAAGAAGCGTCCAAAGAAGTTGGTAAGATGCGATAAGATCTTCCATCAATCAGGACATGATCTGGAGTGGTCTTTTGTTTCTTTCCTATATACATTAATGAAAACCCAAAAATAGCAAACTCGTGATTCTTGCGCCTCTGTTTTGAAAGATCGACAAAAGCAGTAATTATTTATCTGCCTCAACTTGGCCTTATCATTGTTTTTTTTTTCTTTCTCGTCTGATAGTTCATGCAAATACAGTCATTACGTGGCATTATATGCAATTATGCATCGCATCGCTGGCGAGTTCATGAGAGGCTTTCCTTAGTCACAACTCACAATCCAATATATTTTTAATTCTAAAAATTTGATAATAAATATTTTTTTTTAATGTTACTTGAACTCGTTAGTATATTTTATGCATACATCGTACTGTATTTCAAAATATATATTCGGACCTTTACATCCATTTATCCCGGATCTATCGCTATGTATAATGGTAAATTTAAGACCGAAATATGGATTGAGTTAGATTTGACTAAAAAATTTACACATTGAATGATTAATTGACGAATACTCTTTTTGAAACCTAACACTAAATTTAAAATATATAATAAGTATATATCGTTGTGCTGCTTTTAGCTAGAAAATTGAATGTGTCACCAACAATTTTATTTCTTCAATATTTGGATAGTTTGAAATAACTTTATGATTATTTGTTACTAATAAGTTGGTTATAAGTTTAAATTTGATAGATTACTTAATCTAAATGATAGGTACCATAGAATAAATTCAAAAATCATTAGTTCAATTACAAACTCATTAAAATTTTACGTATAGTGTAGTACTCGATGTCAGAGAATAAGATAGCTGGAACTCTCACTAGCTCCCTCTAGTTCCAAAACAAACATAATACTGAACCGGATCAAAAATTATCCTGAACCGAACTTGAAATTGTCGTAAATATATACCTGAATTTATTGTTTTAGACCTCTAGTTATCTTAAATTGTTGCTCACATCCCTTGAATCCGCCCCTGCTATACATGTCATATTGCCATGCCGATACTTAATTTTGAATTAATTGTTCTTTTTACGACAAGAATCGTTGATTAACACAATTGTCATTTTTTGGTGTTATACGTTATAAAAGCTCATGCTCAAATCTCAAAAGAATTATCAACACAACCTACAAGTTTTTCCTCCACATCTAACTCTATAAATATCGGCAAAACCGAGTGAGTTGAGAGCCACCAAACCAAACCAAACCAAATCAAAGCAAACATCATCTTCTTCTTCAATCGACCGTGGTCATGGCCTACAACTACCCGGTGATCGATCTGGCCCCTTTCGTCACCGGCGGCGATGCCAAGAAGAAGGATGAGGTGATAGAGAAGCTGAGGGAAGCTTGCTCCGACTACGGCTTCTTCGTGGCGGTCAACCACGGCATCCCGGACCAAATCATGGACAAAACCATGGACGTGACCATTGATTTTTTCAATCTCGATTTGGAGGAGAAACTCAACATCACCACTCCGCCGGCAGCTCCTCTCGCCGCCGGCTACACCAAGCAGCCGTCCAAATCGGAGCACTGGCAGATGTTCACCCCCGCCCCCACCAACGTTTTCCCGGCCAACCCCCCACACTTCAAGTAATTAATTTTCCTCTCTTTTGGACTTTTGATTTACTCTATTCATTGCTAAAATTTTGAAAAATTTTAAATCGAGAAATATTATGAAGGGAGACAATGGAGGAAATGTGGTGGAAGTTGGACGAAACGGCGGTTTTGGTCCAGAGCTTGTTGAACGACTGCTTGAAACTCCCGAAAGGGACGTTGGCCAAGTACAACGACAACAGAGGGACCGATATTCTGTTTGGATTCCACTACCTGCCGGCAACGGAGACCGGGAAGACGGCGGTCAACGCCCACAGGGACAACGGTCTCTTTACTTTGGTGTTCGAGAATGAAGTCGAAGGTCTTGAGTTTCTGAAAGACGGCCAGTGGATTCCCATCGATCCCATCCCTCATTCCCTCGTTATCAACGTCGGCGACGCCTTCCAGGTATAGTAAAAAAAAATTCAACTGACTTTGTTTGACTATTCTATTTTGTTCCGGCCACGGTTCATTATTGATGAGTTTACTTTCAGTAAGAAACGTGTCACTAGGTGTGTCCATTCGGGTTCGGTTTTTCGGTTTTACCCAAAACCGACCCGATTATATATGTTTTCGATTTTTTGGGTTTTGGTTTCGGTTTTGCTTATCGGTTTTTCGGGTTCCGGCTAAAAACCTCCAATGAATAGAACTCAGCCCGTATTTTTAGGCGTTCGGGTTTTCGGGTTTCGGTTTTATTTTAACCGAACCCAAACCCGATAAGGAATTTTCTGGTTTCGGGTAACCGGAACCCATAAGTCCTTATCGGGTTCGAGTTCGGTTTTAGTGATTTTCGGTTTCGGGTTTCGGTTTGGGTAACCGAAACCGACCCAAACGGACACCCCTACGTGTCACCTATAATTGAAAAATAACAATTATTTATGAAAAGTGTTGATCTAGTTAATTTTTCTAGCAATCAGGTGATTTTTAGACTTACAAAATTCCACTGAATGTGTTTGACTATTCTGGTTATGCGATTGCCTGACTAAATTTATATTTTTATGATATTATGTGACACATGCAGGCACTGAGCAACGACAAGATGAAGAGAAGTGGGTTACATGGTAGCAGAAGAGAAGTGGGTTGAGCCGATGCCTGAGTTGATCGGTCAGACCAACGAGTCACCCAAGTTCAAAAAGTTCAATATCAAAGAGCACATGGCGCTGAAGCAGGTCTTCAAGAACCCTCCTCCCCACTGGAACGACGTCGTCGGCGTTCATTATCATGCCATCACTCCCTCCGCCGGCGCCACCGCCACTGCCGCGGCCGCCAACTGATCACTGTTGTTTGAAACCTCGATTGTTCGATGTTAACTCTTAAGGCTTTGATCCAGTTTGTTGGTCGTATGAATAATTGTTCTAATTTGGGAAGAGAAGATATAAATATAACGGTCCATACATAAAAGAGAAAGATCACGAAAATGCACTACGAAAAATCTAGTCAAATCGGCAATTAATAGACTTTATCATTTGGGAAGAATAGTATCAGGCCAAACCATGATCTATAGCCTTCGAAATTTAAGGAAAATGTCATTTCGAATAAAATGGCCCCGGATTATATCCGCTTAAATCAGTGCTTAATAGACTTAATCGTTTGTGAAGAATATTCTCAGGTCGAATCCGTGAACTATAGCCTTCAAAATCCAAGGAAAATGACCTTTCAAAAAATTATCAACATTTACAAAAATGCCATCTCAATAAAATCGTCCCAAAATAGCAATTATTCTCATTGGTGCATAATAGACTCAGGCCAAATCTGTGATCTATAGCCATCAAAATCCTAGGAAAATCACCATTTGAAAAAATTGCCCGATATGTGTGAATGTGATGGTACCCCTTTTGAATATGTCAAAAAGGCCCTCGAAAAAGTCCGCCCAAATCGTTGCTTAATAACTTAATCTTCCATGAATAATAGCTTCAGGTTGCGTCCTTGATTTGAAGCCTTCAAAATCCAAGGAACATGGCCTTTTGAAAAATCATCCAAAAAATTACGAAAATGCCATAAAAATCATCCCAAATCGGCGACTAATAGGCTTTAGCATTGGTGGAGAATAGAATCAGACCAAATCCGTGATCTGAAGCCATCAAATCCAAGAAAAATCATCATAAGTCGGCAATTAATAGAATTTATCATTGGTGGAGAATAATCTCAAGTCGAATTCGTCATCTTTAGCCTTCAAACTCCAAGGAAAATGGTATTTCAAAAAAATCACTCGAAATTTGTGATGGTACCTCTTTGGAATATGCCAAAAATGGCCCCGAAAAATTCCGCCCAAAGCGTTACTTAATAGACTTCATCATCGGTGAAGAATAGTCTCAGGCTGATTTCGTGATCTGTAGTCTTCCAAATCAAAGGAAAATGGCCTCTCAAAAAATCGTCCAAAAAATTAAAAAAAAATGCCCTCCGAAAAAATCTGCCAAAATCGGTGATTAAAATACTTTATCATTGGTGGAGAATAGCTTCAGGCCGAATCTGCGATCTGTTGCCTTCAAAATCCAAGGAAAATGATATTCCGAAAAAATCTTCTGAAATGTGAGTACTTTTGAATCTGTCAAAAATGTCTTCAGAAAAAAAAAAGTTTATCTAGAAACTAGAGATTTGGATTACCTTTCTTTAAGCAGAGTTGAATCTTTAAGAAGAAAAGTGAAACTCAAATGAGCCCTTTGTTCTGGGGTAGGAAGGACATTGTTCGACCGACTTTGGAGAGTCTGTGGGCGTTGCCACTGGCTCTGAGATTATTCTCTGCAGAAGCGGCAAAAATCAGCTTTCCCAACAACTCAAGCTACATCAACGCTCTGGACTTGGCATCTGTGTCCACACGAGCCTTTAAGAAAACCAACTCAAGCAGATCGTGATGCATGCCAACCGTCAAGGTACTAGCTCCATCCTCTGAGAAATAGTGTTTTAGCTCTGTAGCTATTAGAGAAGATTATGCTAGTTGATGATTGCTGGAATTGAATTCTCACAAAAGCACTGAAGAGCTTGTAGCACATCGACGTTTTAACCAGAAGCGATTGATGAGTTGGTAGAAGAACGGTGTCATTCTAGACAGTGCTTAGTTCGGTTTCAATTAACACTGTATATGCCACCTGTAGCTTTCTTATTTGTAGTTAGCTTTGATTCTATTTATAACCATTGTAATTAAACAGATGTACAGAGAGTGAGTTGTCTCACGGTATATATACACGCCCTTGAGTCCAAAGAATCCTTTGCGGGATTCACCACCAATCTAATCCTATCTCTAAATTTCACATGGTATCATAGTCTGGTTCAGGCCATTAGGGTTTTTTCCCTTTCACGCGCATTCTTCTTCTCCATCTCCTTTTTCTACTACAATAATCCTCCTAGGCTATGGCGACTCAAGCTAGTGATAGCTCTTCAACTTCTACCGCCACGGGTTCTGGACCCATTACTCCTGCGGCTTCTTCTGTCACTAGTCCTTTCTACATAAACCCTAACGAAGCTTTGGTGTTTCCTATCAAGCTCACTGGAGCTACAAATTACAACATCTGGAGCAGAACAGTTCGTGTTGCCTTGAAGAGCAAGAACAAGCTTGGGTTCGTTAATGGGTCCATTCCAACCCCAGATCCAACTCATGAATCCTATATTGCTTGGGAACAAAGCAATCCGTCTGTGTTGTTTATGATTTTGAGCTCACTTGATTCCAGTCTTGTCGATGATGTCTCAACCATTGAGAATGCTCAGTTTTTGTCGGAAGATCTCAGACAACGTTTTGGCCAAGCCGACAACATCAGGGTCAGTGATCTACAGATAGCTCTATACTCTCTCAAACAAGGTACTAGATTTGTGAACCAGTTTTATTCAGAACTTAAAGGACATTGGGAAGAACTAGGTCAATTTCTGCCAATCCCTAGCTGCACTTGTGGTGGAAATGCTAATGAAGGTGCTACTTGCATCACTGAGACTACCATGAGAAAGTATAGGGAGAATGAGTTTGTGACTAGATTTTTTAAGGGGTGGAATGATTCATATGAAGGAATACGAACTAACTTGTTCATGATGAGTCCCTTACCATCTATGGAAACTGCCTTTCACTATGTTGTGCAACATGAGAGACAACTAGTAAAGACCAACCCTGAATCTCAAGTGGATTCAGTTGCATTGCTTGCATAAAACCAATCCAAATAAAAGGAGGCAGCTAAGGGGACTCTCTTCTATCGCTCCTGCAAGAAGGACAACCATGTGATAGCTGATTGCTACAGATTGAAAAGAAAGAATTCCTTCAAGGAATCAGGGGGATCATGTGGGTTTGAAGGTCAGATACACGGGAATGAAGGGGGTGTCCTTCTGCCCAAACCTGAAATAAAGAATGCTACTGAGACTGGAGATGGCTTCACTAATATAAGGTTTTAAACTGAAGACCTTGGGAGGCTACATAGACTCCTCAATAAGTTCAATTCTCCACCATCTCCTACTTCACCAGTTTCTCCTGGCTCACCATCTATACAACTGCAACAGAATCAGCCTATGCTTATCTCAGTCAGTAGATTTCTTTCTGTCAACCTCAACTTTGCAGGTAAATACACTTTGACCTCATACTACCTTAAGCATCCGTTGGAACTTCTCAATGTGTGGTTCCTTGATACAGGTGCCACTGATCATGTTACATGATTCATTTGTTTCACATAACCCTATTCAAAAAGTTTTTATCACTCTCCCTAATGGTTCTAAAACTCCTGCTACTCAATCTGGAACCATTAGATTGCTATCAGGACTCATCTTACGTGATGTCTTGTATGTGCCAGCCTTTTCTTTCAATCTGATTTCTGTCAATTTGACTTACCAAAACTCTACCAATCACACTCACATATAAATCCAATCTGTGTGATATTCAGGAGTTACTCACCCAGAAGAAGATTGGTTTTGCCCGAGAGATTAGGGGTCTTTACCAGCTCACTAGTCGTACCGAGGAACCACCAATACTTGTCAATTCCATCAAGACACCAAACCTTATACCATAGACATTTGACTTATGGCATTGGAGACTTGGCCATCCATCTTTCTTTCGAACCAAGGCACTACATAATTCCATACCTAGTATAGATACAACAATTATACATCACTGTGATGTTTGCCACTTTGCTAAACAGAAACGTCTTCCATTTTCTTCAAGCCTTTCCATGGCAAAACATGTATTTGATCTTATTCATGTTGACATTTGGGGCCTTTGGGTGTAACCAGTTACAATAGATATATGTACTTCCTTACTATTGTTGATGATAGGTCTCGATGTGTTTGGGTTTACCTTATAAAACTTAAGAGTGAGGCTAGACAGTTGTTGCTGGATTTCTGCATTATGATACAAAACCAGTATGGTGTTCAGATTAAGACTATTAGGTCAAATCAGGGATCAGAATTTCATATTCCATCTTCTATTCTTCTTATGGAATTACACATCAAACATCCTATGTTGAGACACCACAACAGAACACTAGTGTAGAGAGGAAACACCAACACATACTCAATGTGGCCAGATCCTTAAAGTTTCAATCTGGTTTACCCTTAAAGTTCTGGTCTGGCTTCATTTTACACTCAATATACATGATCAATCGATTACCTACTGTTGCTCTTAACAACAAAACACCATATGACATTCTTTACGGTTCACCCCCAGATTTATCTCAACTAAAAGTGTTTGGCTATTTGTGTTATGCTAGCACTTTAGGTCATAATCGAACTAAATTCTTTCCTCGAGCTAGACAATGTGTATTCTCATATTCCATCCAAACAATAAAGGGTACAAGCTCTTTGACTTGACAGAACAAAAAGTTTTCTACTCTAATGATGTTACATTCCATGAAAAAATATCATTCCCTGCCTTAATACTCACTCCACTTCTCATTCAACTACCAAAACTCCTGTCCAACCAAACTATTATGACCAAATATTTTTCTCATCATCTCCTGATCCTCCTCCAGTACCAGATACTACTGTACTCTTTCTCCTATTCCAATTCCACCAGACCAAACACATATTACACCTAAAACTTCTTCTCCAATTTCCACACCTTCATCCTCCCACTCTCCATCACCTGTCATTGACCTTCCAGCATCTCCTTCTACCCTTCCAATTGCACTGAGAAAGCCTTCTCGCATACCTTTCAAACCTGTGAAGTATAATGATTATGTTATGCATGTAGAATCCCACTTTGACAAGCAGAAATATCCTTTGGTTGCTTGCCTATCCTATGATCAGTTATCTCCAGGATACAAGAAGTATGTTTGTGCAGTTGAAACCACAATGATCCCTAAAACATTTGAAGAGGCAGTAAAGTACAAGTGTTGGAGAGATGCTATGAACTTAGAATTGAAAGCTTTGGTAGCAAACCATACTTGGGATACCGTTGATGTCCATTTGGAAAGAGGCCTACTGGCAACAAATGAGTTTTTACCATCAAGTTCAATTCAGATGGTTCCATAGAGAGATATAAAGCTAGGTTGGTAGCTAAAGGATTCACCCAGATTTATGGAGTTGATTTTTAGAATACCTATTCCCCAGTTGCCTAGTTGAATTCAGTTAAGAATTTGCTTGCATTAGCTGCAGCAAAGGATTGGAAATTGTTTCAGATAGATGTCAGCAATGCATTTTTGCATGGTGACCTTCAAGAAGAATTATATATGGACCTTCCACCTAAAATTTCTGCTCCTGGCAAGGTTTTTCATCTCAAGAAATCCATCTATGGTTTAAAACAGGCCTCGAGGTAGTGGTTTGCAAAGCTTACTTCTACTCTTTTGAGCTTTGGTTACACACAATCCACCAGTGACTATTCAATGTTCGTCCATCATCTCAAGGATTCATGAATTTCTATTCTCTTGGTTTATGTCGATGATATCATCATTGCTGGGGATGATAATCAAGGGATGCATTCTCTTAAACAGTTCAAGATTCGTGATCTCAGCACACTTCACTACTTTTTAGGCCTTGAGATTGCTCGATCACAAGGGGGACTATACATTTGCCAAATGAAGTACATACTTATTGGAAGACACTAGTTATGCAGATTCCAAGCCTATCATCACCCACATTGACATGAAAACCAGGTTAAGTGTTGATGATGGACCATTACTTGAAGATGGGACACAGTTTCGGCATATCATTGGTCGATTACATTACCTCACAATCACTCGACCAGATCTGACCTTTGTAGTTCAACAATTATGTTAATACTAGGTTGCACCAATTGTTACACATATGCAGCTAGTTTACAGGATTTTGAAGTATCTAAAAAATGCACCAGGACAAGGGTTGTTCTATCCTTCTAAGTCTGATGTTCAGCTTAGAGGGTACATCGACTTTGACTGGGCTTCATGTCCAGATACAAGACGCTCAACATCTAGATATTGTGTCTCCCTGGGACGATCATTGATCATATGGAAGTCGAAGAAGCAGGGGACAGTATCTCGATCCTCCTCTAAAGTTGAGTACAGAGCTATGGTTCAACTCACTTGTGGAGTCGTATGGGTGAAGAGACTTCTGCAGGAGCTTCATGTGGAACACCCTCAACCTGTGGAAGTTTATTGTGACAATCGATCAAACATCTATATAGCTGAAAATCCTATATTTCATGAGAGAACGAAGCACATAGAGAACGATTGTCACATTGTTCGTCAGTTCCTGCAATCTACGCTGATCAACCTCAGCCATTTGGAAACAGAAAATCAAATTGCAGATATGTTCACAAAAGGGCTGAGTCGACATCATCTGGAGTACTTGTTGTCCAAGTTGAACATACATGATGCTAGTTGATGATTGCTGGAATTGAATACTCACAGAAGCACGAAAGAGCTTGTAGCACGACAACGTTTTAACCAAAAATGATTGATGAGCTGGTAGAAGAATGGTGTCGTTCTAGACAGTGCTTAGTTCGGTTTCAATTAACATTGTCTATGCCACTCGTAGCTTTCTTATTTATAGTTAGCTTTGATTTCGTTTATAACCATTGTAATTAAACAGATGTACAGAGAGTGAGTTGCCTCACAGTATATATACATGCCCTTGAGGCCAAAGAACCCTTTGCGGGTTTCACCACCAATATGATCCTATCTCTAAATTCCACGGTAGCAATGGCTATCCTAGTAGTGTCAATGAAGGAATGGTAGAAGGAGGCTCTTACCGTGTCAAGTTTATCATCCCTGGTAAAATGACAGTTCATAGCTTTCTTGGTGACTGAAAGTCCAGAGCTATGGAGAACAAATATAGGTAAAGAGAGGGTTTACTTACAAGTGATGTGATGGGGAAGGAAGTTCCATCGAAACAGAGACTAGCACTAAAGTTGTCCAACGATTTTACACATAGATATGTATGCTCCCATGGTGAAAAGATTGGTTCCAAGAAGGCCAGAGAAGCTAAGGATTGGGTTGTATGAGTTTCCTGAAAAGGGACCATGTTCAGATGCCTTGACCCCAACTCCTGCAGTTAGCCCAACATAGTCATATGTGAATCTTAATTCCACCTGTTATTCAATCAACTATTAGAAGGTGCACCAACCTCAAATTCTCAATATGATCAAGAAAATAAGAATCAGGGAAAAACACCCGTTTTTTCCCCAAATTGAATTCAGAGTATTTAAAGAAGATAACCGTGTAACCAATCGATGTCATTGTGCCAAGACACGCGATTGTTAAAATGGATGATGTCATTTCGCCGAGACCGAATCATTAGAGAAGTTGGAGCGATGTTGTTTCCGACAAATTGCCATCTAGTCCTTGAAGTTCTTATTTTTGTTTCTTTCTGTTTCTGCATTGTACTTGCTTAGGACCCAAGCTTTGTCCTCCTCTCCCTTTTTGTCTGTAAGTGAATTGGCCAACTATATAAGTTGATGATGAAATGAAATCAACTACGACTTCTAATCCTCAACCCTTAGACGTTGTTATGGTATCAGAGCCTGGTTGCTAAACCCTAGCAGCCGCAAGCAACCATGGCAGAGAACCATGCGAGTTAAGCTGCAACCACAACAGTAGTAGCTAGAGAAACAACATCAACGACTAACCAGATTATCGACCCAATGTCTAATCCTTTCTACCTTCACGGATCTGAGCAGCCAGGTCTCCAACTTCTAGCAGAGAAGCTCACACCAACCAACTACAACGATTGGAGCAAAGCTATCCACAATGCGTTGGGTGCAAAGAACAAACTTGGCTTTGCGAATGGCTCCATTCCATATACAGGACAAGCAAGCCCCAATGCTTGGGCTTGGAACAGAAACAACATAATGGTGCTCTCCTAGATCCAACGGGCAATAAATCCTGGGATAAGGAACACCATTATGTCTTGCAAGACAGTAGAAGAGGCATGGAGAAGACTTAGAGACAGATATGGCCAAGGAGACATGGTCAGAATAGCAGAGTTGATTGAATCCATCTGCATTCTTAAGCAAGGTAACCAAACTGTTACCGAGTACTATGGAAATCTCATAGCTTTAAAAGACGAACTTGACAACTATCAGCTACTTGAACCTTGTGTTTGTACCACAACTAGTCATACCACCTGTAGAGCTATGATGCTAGTTCAAACATACATGGATACCAACTATGTGATTCAGTTTTTAAGAGGTTTGAATGATAACTTTTCTAGTGTGAGGCCACGAGTTCTGTTTGGTGAAACTTTGCCACCAATACATCGTGTTTTTCAAAGGATGTTACAACATGAGAGGCAACCATCTGGAACTCAGTCAAGCAAAAATCTGGCCACTGAGGGCATGGCTTTTGCTGCACAAGGCAGCAACAACTATCAGGGAAGAAGACCAAGGCCATTCTGTACTTATTGCAAGTTTCCCGGGCATACAGAAGATACTTGCTATCACAAACATGGGTGACCATCAGGGATGAACAACACCATATCTGGAAGTTCCACAGCAAGGTCGGTTGAATGCACCTATTGCAAGAAACAAGGTCATACTGAAGACAAGTGTTTCCAGAAAAATGGATATCCACCAAGGAGCAGTGAATATAAAGGGAAAGCATCTGTGAATGCCACCTCAACTGCTACCGAACCAGAAGAAATCAAGCTAAGCAAGGTTGAATATGAGAGGCTGATGAGCATCATGAGGGACAAGGATACTGGGAAAACAGAGCACAATCAATCTTCTTCATTCTCTGGTGCAACATGGATCAAGAAAGGTCCTGGCCCCTCATGTAAATATACTTTGAGTGCACAAAATGAATCATCTCAGCATGTTTGGATACTTGACACTGGTGCCTCAGATAATATTGTATATTCCCTTGAGTACCTTGTTAATCCCAGGCAGGTATTCAATATACCTATAACCTTCCCACAGGGGATCAAGTCCAATTTACACACACTGGAACAATCACATGTGTAGCTGATCTTACCCTTGACAATATCCTCTTTGTGCCTCAATTCAATTTTAACCTAATCTCTGTGAGCAAGTTGACAACCAATTCTCCCATTTGCTTAACCTTCTTTTCCAATGTCTGTCTCATACAGGATATGCAATTGAGGAAGATGATTGGTTCTGCTAAGCTCACCCATGACCTTTACCTGTTTGATAGTACCTTAATAGATAATAAACCTAAACATTTTGTTGCCACTAGTGCACAAAGTTCTAATCTCTTGCACTATAGATTGGGATATGTTTTTCATTCTAAGATCCCTAATTTAAGGAAACTCTGTATATCCATATAAACATATTCCTCTACTCCTTGTGATACCTGTCATTTTGCCAGACAGAAGAGATTACCCTTTCCTTGTAGCAACACTGTTTGCACTTCACCTTTTGACTTGATACATGTTGACCTTGGGGGTCCAAACTCTACTCTTAGTTATGATGGTTTCAAATATTTTTTAACTATCGTTGATGATTTCACCAGAATGACTTGGGTTATTCTTCTCTCAACCAAATCTGAAACCATAACTAAACTACAATATTTTTGTACCTATGTTGAAAGACAATTCCAAACTCATGTAATAAGAATTAGGAGTGATCAAGGAAAGGAATTTCAAATGCATGATTACTTCAATCAAACTGGAATTTTCCATGAGCTTTCTTGTGTTTAAACACCACAGCAAAACAGCAAGGTGGAGAGAAAACACCAGCATATCCTTGTTGTTGCTCGAGCCTTGAAATTTTAGGACAATCTCCCTGCTAGTTTTTGGGGAGACTGTGTCAAGCATGCTGTGTACCTTATCAACAGGGTTCCCACACTTGTTCTGGGGAACCAAACACACTTTGAAAAGCTTTTTCATAAACCACCTGATTTCATAGACTTAAGAGTCTTTGGTTGTTAATGCTTTGTCAGTACCCTTCATAATCACATAACCAAATTTGATTCCAGAGCTAGGAAAGGTGTATTCATTGATTTCACAACTGGAATTAAAGGTTACAAAGTTTATGATCTCGGATCTCCTTACACATGAGGTTTTCACCTCCAGAGACATTCATTTCTATGAAGATCAGTTCCCCTTTCAGAACCAACCACCTAGCCTACCCATCACAGAAGAAGATTGTCAGAACCCTTACAACCTTGCTATCTTTGATGATTTCATCCTTCTAATCTCCCTACTTCTACTTCCCATTCACCTTCAGAACCAGAACCCTTCCTTAATGATCTCCACTTTGACTCAGACTCTAATGACAATCCTTCATCCTTTCCTTCCCCATCACCATCATCAACCCCACCACCTCCATCACCACCACCTGCTCAACCAATCAGAAAATCCAATCGTCAAACCAAACCTCCTTCTCACCTTCAATCTTACCATTGTAGCCTTCTTTAGCAGCTTTCTTCCACCAATCATCTTCCAAGACAGCATACTCCAGGTATTACTTATCCCCTCTCTTCTGTCATTGATTATTCAAATCTTTCTTTCTCTCACCAACATTATGCTTTGAGTATTCCACCCTCAAAGAACCAGAAACTTATCAAGAGGCCTTCTTATTTGATGAGTGGAATGAAGCCATGAAGTCTGAAACTAAAGCCCTTGAGGCCAATCACATATGGGACATTGTTGAGCGACCTCCTGATGCCAGGGTCATAGACAACAAATGGGTCTACAAGTTTAAGTTCAATTCAGATGATAGCCTTGAAAGAAGGAAAGCTAGATTAGTAGCCAAAGGCTATACTCAGCAAGAAGGTGTGGACTACCAAGAGACATTTGCTTCAGTGGTCAAAATGACTACCATCATACTGTTTTTTGGCCCTTGCAGCTGCTTAGTCTTGGTTTGTTCACCACCTGGATGCCAACAATGCCTTCTTACATGGCGATTTGGACCATGATGTCTACATGAGGCTTCCTCCTAGCTATTCTCCTCTTTCTGGTTTTAAACACCCTGTCTGTAAACTCAGAAAATCTCTATAGGCCTGAAACAGGCTTCCAGACAGTGGTTTCCCAAATTGGCTGAAACGTTAACAAATCAAAGCTATCAATCCCACAAAAGGTTGATCACTTCCTCATTTTCAATTCAAATGGAAACTCCTATACCAATATTCTTGTCTATGTTGATGATCTGGTCGTGGGTGGCAATGACCTTGATGAGATCACTCGTCTCAAGTCCTTTCTTCACTAAGAGTTCAGCATCAAGGACCTTGATAACTTGAAGTTTTTTCTTGGCATTGAAGTTACCAGAAGCAAGCAAGGCATCCACATTTCCAAAGAAAATACACACTAAAAATTTTGGAGGAAGTAGACCTATTACATTCGAAACTAGCTTCCACATCAATTGACTACAAGGTCCATCTCTCTGCTTCACATTCTGACCCTTACCCTGATCCAGAATTCTACCAGCGGTTGGTTGGGAAGCTCATTTACTTCACCACCACAAGACCTGACATCAGCTATGCCACCCAACAGGTTAACCAATACATGAACAACCCCAGCAACACTCCTTTTAAAGTTGTTGTTCGCATCCTGCATTACCTCAAGACAACTCTTTCAAGTGGCATTTTCTTCTCTTCCTCTTCCTCGCTTAGCCTCAAGGCATCCAGTGACTCTGACTGGACGGCTTGTACTGACACTCATCATTCTGTCATCGGCTACTGTGTATACTTGGGTGATTCCCTTGTTTCCTGGAAGAGGAAGAAACAGACCACCATTTCTCGATCCTCTTGTGAGGCAGAGTATAGAGCTCTTGCCTACACGACCTATGAAGTCCAATGGCTCCTATACTTGCTCCATGACTTCGACATTCAACATCCTCAACCTGCAACGCTCTTCTGCGACAATCAATCAGCCATGTACATCGCTGAAAATCCAACATTCCATGAACGGACCAAGCATACTGGGCTTGATTGAAACTTTGTCCGTGAAAAGTTGCTTGCAGGTACCATCAAGATCCTTCATGTCTCCACCCTTTATCAGCTAGCTGACATCCTCACGAAGCCTCTCCCGCCGGCTAGCTTCACCACCCTTTTCTCCAAGCTTGGCGTGCTCAATTTGTGGCCACCAATTTTCCCCCAAATTGAATTCATAGCATTTGAAGAAGATGATCGTTGAACCAAACGAACTCGTTGTGCCAAGACCCGTGATTGTTAAAACGAACGGACGATGTCGTTCCTCCAAGATCGAATCTTTAGAGAAGCTGGAGCGATGTCGTTTCCGGCAAATCGCCATCTAGTTCCTGAAGTTCTTATTTATGTTTCTTTCCATTTCTGCATTGTACTTTCTTAAGACCCAAGCTTTGTCCTCTTCTCCCTTTTTGTGTGTAATTGAATTGGCCAGCTATATAAGATGATGATGAAATGAAATCAACTACAGCTTCTGATCATCAAACCTAAAAGTTTGTTAACGAGAGGAAAAGCATTACTGCCTTGCTGGGATCAGGAAGGGCAAACCTGAAAAGTGTTGCCAGGCCTGGCAGGATTTCTTGAGCTTTAAGATTCAGGACAAAAGTTTACAACTTTCTCAAACATGAGGAAGGTTGAATTGAGAGGTGAGAAAAAGATAGTTCTAACTTTTACAGGATAGATCAAAGTTCCACTTCATCGACTAAAACTTGAAGTAGGTGGCTGGCTGACGAGCATAGTCTTTGTGCAGAAGATCTGACGGGCAATTGACAGAATCTCGAGAAAAAATACAATTCTGAGGGAGGAGGAAATAGAAGGAAGTTTCCCTTTCCCATGTATAACCAAATTTTAGGGTTAAAATTTTCAAGAACTCCCATAAAATAAATGCTTGCTTACTGCTCAACATCCAATGTTGTTATCTTAACCTTGAAAGATGGAGTCGATGCCACCAACATATTACCTTATCGTCCCAAGTGCTATTATAACTTATAAGGACACTTCATGATATGCTTGACAATTTGTATATGGTTTGTTCATTTTTATTCACCAAGTTGGATCTCCTTGATGACATCAAATTTTTCATATTTTATAACTTTCAGATTGATGCAATATAAATGATGACAACATTTTATAACTTTAAATTATCTCTCTGTATTATTTATTCTTGATATACACATTTACAAAGAAAAACGATCATAGAAATTTACATCATGGCGATTGATTAACATACCAAACTGGTTTTAATTTGTTGATTAATTGATACATATACATAAGACACACATTATATGCAAGTCTAGAATTGATTAAGAGTTCAAAGTTTTAATTGTGATCCTGGATCAGCTGGGTGGAGGATTAGCTTCAGCTTCATGGATGAGCTTGAGGATCTCTTCTTTCTTGAGGGACAATTCCTGCATCTTGGTCTCTATCTTCTGGAGCTTGGCCTTGAGCTTAGAAGGGTCCTTCTTATCTTCAGGGTTCTTCTTCTTCTTCTCTTTGTGCTCATCGCCATCTTCTTCCTTATCCTTATTCTCCTTACTATCTTTACCTTCTTTGTCTTTCTTCTTGTTCTTCTTCTTCTTTCCCTCCTCATCCTGCTTGTGATCCTTGTCGTCCTCCTTGTGGTGTTTTTCCTCTTCGCTACCATGTTTCTTCTCTGTCTCTTCTGTCCCTCCCATTTAATCTGCTATATGTGCCACATTGCAAATAAAATGGTAATTAAGAAGCAAGTCAATCTTAAATAACAAAGCAATTCGTGTTGAATAGAATTAAACCTGAGAATGGTGTTTGCAGGTGCTAGTGTTGCAAGTTGCAACCTCTTTGACCTTTTGATTTTGCCTAAGAAAATGTTTTGGGGATTTTTTTATTTTTTATTTTGGAAAGTTATGAGGCCTTCAATATTTGAAATGCGGTGTGTGTGGAAACAATTTTGGTCTTTTATGGTGAAGTTGGATGGTGCAGGAATTTCTTAGTGATTTGGGGTTTTCTTTCTTCTTTTTATCTTTGTGATTAAGAGAGAACGACGAATGTTCATCTGCTCCAATAGTTAAAATTAATGGGTTGTTTTGTTTGACTTTCTCAACTTTGTATTTCAATATGTATCTCGTTCGAAAGCCACTCATTCAAGGGATATTTTATAGTTTAAATTTATTTCATTCTTTTTTTTCCCCAAAACTATTATCACAATACATCTGGTGAAAATCTATATCGTTATAGTTTGGGAAAATATGCAGATAACAGTAAAAAAATTTAATCCTTCGATGATATTTGTCTACATTTTTTAAAATAAAAATAAAAATGGAATGTTTGTTAATTTGTAATAGATGTATTTTAACAACAAACTTAATACCATGATAACATGAGTGAAATTGACGAGGTGGTAAGTTGGCTAACAACACAATTTATGTCACAGCCCGAGAGAGTAGGAATGGCAATGGGGCAGGTCCGGGACGGGTATCTCAATACCCATACTCGCCCCATGGCAGGTTGGGTCCAGGTCGGGTAATTTATCACGGGGCGCGGGTCGGGGCAGGTCGACCCATTGGGTATGTAATTTATGTGAAAAATATTAGAAATATTCGTTCTTTTCATTGAAAGACCAAGAAAGAAACCATAATATGATAAAATGTAGTTAAATTATTGAAGAAATTGAGATTTTTACTTATTTACAACTTTATTATAGCTAAAATATAATGTAATAAGAGGAAAATCTTAAGTAATTTAACTAAGATTATATGTAATTTAGGCAATAACGGGTCGAGAATGGGGCGGGTCAGGGCAGGTCGGGTCGATGAAAGGTACACATGCCCGCCCCGCCTACGGGGCGGGTTTGACCCGCCCCAAAACAGGTCAAACAGGTCGGGTAAATCGAGTCAGGTCGAAATTGCCATCCCTACGAGAGAGAGGGCTCCATTCCCCCTTGCAGGTAGGGGTGCTCAAACGGTGTGGTTACCATTGTAACCGTTTTAACCAGTACTATTTGGATAATTTGGTTTGGTTAATTTGGATAATTGGTTTGGTTTGGTTAAAGTTTTTAGCTTGTTTGGTTTGGTTTCAAACACTCCTAACCAGCCAAACCAAATTAACTAGATAAATAATTAGTCATATATCGAATATATACACATACTTAATACTTTGAATAACCACTCAAGAGTTGAACGTTCATCCCTTTTAGACTCATAAAATATAAAACTTGATATTGTTCCTATAATGTATATTTGTATATGTAGAGTGTAGACCACAACATATGAACGCCTAATTTAGATAAATCTCATACATTATGTTGGATGAAAACTTGAAAGTAAGGTCCTTTTCAGCCTATGGAAATTGTTAAAAGAATAAGTCAATTCAAACAAAAACAAAAATTCGTTAACCCATACCATTGTGATAAATTTTTGTTAGGTGAATACTTCTATACTAACCGTAAGATAATTGTCTTAGTTGCATGTTTAATGTTAAGGGTCAACTATAACTATGTGTTGATTGTTATGTTTTATTCATTATATAAATTGTGAATTGATAAATTAACCAAAATTTTCTCACTTAATGATAATGTGATTTTATATTGGTTAATCTGGTTAACCAATTAACCAAACCGATTAAACTTTAATTTGGTTAATTTGGTTGTTGTATTAGTTTGGACGGTTTGGTTATGATATTGTATTCTATGGTTAATGAAATTTAGCCTTATTTGATTTGGTAATAACCATGGTAACCATTTGAACACCCCTACTTGGAGGCATTGCTACTACACTAATTATTATTACAACAAAGTCGTCATCATCAGTTCTCTTCTCTTCCTTTATTTGACCAAAATCACACCAAAGACCAAATAAAAGCTGCAACATCTCCAGTTTCCTACATTACCTTTGACTTCCCTACCTCTTCTCTGTTTAATCTTTGACGATATCAACATCCTGGATGCCCACGCCCACCAGATATTCAGGCCCACCGGATCCCAAAAGCAGGACAATAACGCACCAAGGCCTGAGCCCAAAGCACGAAAAGCCGCAAAAAGAATCAAATTGGACATTAGTGGCATCTTCGTTGTACGTTTCCCTTCCCATAATCAAGTTACATACAGACACAATTACAGCAATCTCTGCTCTCTTGACTTCTTCCCTCTTATTTCAAAGTCCCACTTCCCCACCAATTCAAAAAGAAACCAAAAAAGGGGGGTTAATGCCACATTTGGTCACTGTCATTACTAAATTGTGTCATGGTTAGTCACTAGAAAAAATTAATATCAAATTTGGTCACTCTAATTACTCAAACAGGTCACGTTTAGTCACTCTCCGTTAGTCTCCGTCCAACTCCGTTAAGGGAGTCCGTTATGTGCTGACGTGGCTAACGGGAGTGCCTAGTCAGCACCATTTTGGGTCAGAAATGGTCAAACCCGACCCGCCACGTCACTAAACCCGCCATGTCATACACCCAACCCGAACTAAAACCAAACCCTCACCCACTGAACAAAACAAGATTGGAAAATCGATTGGGTTATTGGCCATTTCAGACCAAAACCCTTTCTCCTTCCTCGAATCAATTCCCCCCACCAAAAAATCCCCAAATTCATCATAAAAAATCTCCTTCAATTGACCTTGCATCTTCTGCACTCATACAAAGAGATTGATTAAGGGAGAGGGAGAGTGAGGTCCGTCCTCTCATTCAGCAAACATGGAAGATGACAGGAGGGAAGAAGTAGATGAAGAGAGACCGAACCTCATAGTGAGTAATCCAGATGTCTACGTCAAGAGCTCACTGGTACTGATCCAACATCCCCTTGCTTCTGCGCTCCCAACCAAACCACACAAACAAAAACAAAAGCAAAAATCCGACGCTCAGCTCAACGAGATTGAAAAATTGTGCTATCCAAGCTTTAATTGAAACTTCCGAGACGAAGACGAAGACTGATCAACTCGGATTCAGCTCGCTCTCATCTGGAATCGGGAATCTAGGGTTTCGGAGAGAGGAAGGGAGAGATTGAATGAAAGTAGAGGTGATGTAGACTGACGTGGCGGCGGGGTTGATGAACTCGTGGAGCTTACCGGTGCTGGAGACTTTGGCGTTGCAGAGGACGGTGAGCTCGTTGGCCTTCTTGAAGAGCCCTTTGCGGCGCTTAGAGTAAGTCACCTGCCAGTTCGTCGAGTTCTGGATACTCTTAATCTGGATCTTCCATCGAGCTATCGCCAACTTGCTTCAATCAAACGTACGTGCTTCTAGGGATTCCGGTTTTTGACGAATTTGGGGATTTCTTTGTGGGGGATTGATTCAAGAAAGGAGCAAAGCGAGGAAGGAGAAAGGGTTTTGGTCTGAAATGGCCACTAACCCGATCGATTTTCCAATCTTGTTTTGTTAAGTGGGTGAGGGTTTGGTTTTGGGTCGGGTTGAGTTAGTGGGTTGGGTGTATGACATGGCGGGTTTAGTGACGTGGCGGGTCGGGTTTGACCATTTCTGACCCAAAATGGTGCTGACTAGGCGCTCCCGTTAGCCACGTCAGCACATAACGGACTCCCTTAACAGAGTTGGACGGAGACTAACGGAGAGTGACTAAACGTGACCTGTTTCAATAATTAGAGTGACCAAATTTGATATTAATTTTTTCTAGTGACTAAACTTGACACAATTTAGTAATCACAGTGACCAAATGTGGCATTAACCCCAAAAAAGGGCAACAGAACACAATTCCTTTGCTTTCCTATCTTCTTCCCATCACCATCATTCGGTGCCTCCAAAACTTCTATCTTCTTTATACTTAAATAATAATAATAATAATAATTTGATCATTATTATCCGAAACCCAATAATTAGGCTTAGGCGCTTAGCTAACACTAATCTTGTTTTTCTCTACATAATCCGATCGGACAAGCTGGGCAGCCGCCGGAAGAAGTTCAGGCTCGCCGGCGGCATCGGGTCCCGGAACATGGGGTGCCTCAAATAATAGAACCCCAGCGCCACCGCCACCATCTTCGGCGGGACCAGGTACAGCACTATCGTAATCCCGAAACACACCCCTATGAACAGCTTCGTCGCCCGCGGGTCCCTCCAGCTCACCAGCGCCTGCGCCCTCTCCCCTTGCGTCGCAAAATCCCCCAGCACCGTCTGCACCCTCGCCGCCAGCATCCTCAGCCGGTCGTACCTCGCACGTATCACCTCCGGCGGTTTCGAGCTCGGGATCGTGTCGAATTCCTCGTCCAGCTCGTCCGGATCGACCGTCTCCGCCTGGGACAGCCTTATGTCCATCCCCGCTGGGATCTTGGGCCGGAACCGGTAGTACCAGATTCCGATCAGGCAAATGTAGAGAAACCCGGTCGGAACGATCAGGTCCGGGAACCAAACCAGAACCAAGTACAGCACGTGGACCAGAACCGTGGTCACCGGGTTTCTCCACCGCCGAATATCATCCAACCATTTCGCCAAACCGACCAACCAGGCCAGAACCGCCACGATCCGAAACCAATTCGACTTGCTCTTCCTCATGCTCCACGTATGCGAATCGGCATCCAACATGTACCTGACCACTTCCGGCCCGAGCGCAGGCTCCGACCGGGCGAGCCACTGGGCGACCATTTTGGTGGCCGCGCCACGCAGGGCCTCCTGCTGAGCCACTCCCAGCGGTCGGAGATAGTGCATCCGAGGAAGCATCGGCTGCCCGTAGACCACACAGGTCTCGGGCAGCAAATTCGGGCAGGCAAACCGGACCGCGATCTCAATCTCGCCCATCTTCTTCAACCCGCCTCTGAACAAGACCAACAGAGGATACGAATTGGTGTAAACCTTATTGCTCTCCAGGGTCGAGACGCGGATTCGGACCTTACCGATTCGGCAGTCGGGTCTCTCCTCCGTCGGGTCGGCGAACATCCGCCAGTTGTCGAACACGCCGATGGTCAACACCGTGCACGGGTCGTAGACCTGCCACGTGTACTGCTCGTTCCAGCGTGGATCAAAGCTGTCCGTGACGGTTCTGGTGCGGACCCACTTTTTCCCATACTTGGCGACACAGTAGGCATCGGTGGAGCCTTTCCCTCCACCTTTGTTCTTCATCGGGAGCAACCCGCGAGCGCCTAAAATCCCCAGCTCCAGGATTCCGACGGCCGGCTTCCACAGCTGCTTCGCCGTGGGGCGGAAGTCGCTGCACACGTGCGCCGCTTCGTCCAGCACATGATATCCTCCTTCCAAGCAAAGACGGAGGTGGAGCCTCCCACAGTACATGGACCCACCGCCATCTGGGCCAGGCCCCGGCGGGCCTGGTTCGGGGCCCAAGCTGCTTGCTCCGCCTTCTAATGTGAACCATTTTGATGCCACCTGGCGCTCATCCAACCGCTGCTCGATCGAGCTCACCGGAACGATGACGTGTCCGAGCAGCGTTACTTCCTTAGTCGTCCGATCCTCCACCAGCAAGACCAGCGAGTCCTCCAGCGGCTCGCCGGCGACGAAAATGATGTCTTCACTCCAGTGAAACGACGCGCTGTGATTGTTCATCGAGCCGCGCCGGGATCTGACGGATTGGAAACCTAATTGGCCTTTGATTCGGATCTCCGGCGCTGTTAAGGGAGGGAGATTGGGGGCAATGTTCAGATCTTGAGCTTCGATTATTGTGACTCGCAAGTACCAGAGCTTGGGAGATTGGTAAACCTTCGAGCGGGTGTGAGCGACGTACGGCGCGTCGGAGCTCCACGCCTCCGGGAACGCGTCGTCCGCTTGAGTCCCGATCCAGACGGAGAGCTGCACGTCGCCGGAGACTCGGCCTGAATTTTGCTCACCGCCTTCGAGACGGTACCATTGAGGAGCGAGCGGACTGTCCGGCGGATCGCGGACGGGGACATCGGAAAGGTCGAAACAAACTCCGCCGAGAAATTGCTCCGTCGGAGCGTCCCAAACAGATATTTCCAGAGTCGTGCTCGCCGAGTCGGGCCTGTTGTGGGGGAGAGCAAAGACCTGGTTCCACTCGGGCGAGTCGGGCGGCTCGCTGGGGCGGTAATTCGTCGGCTTAGATCTGACGTAGTGATTGGATGTCCTGATTTTCACATAGGGGCTCTCATTCGGCGACAATCCACGCGCCTTCACGATTCTGATGAACAGATACTGCATCGGCTCAACCAGATCTAGAGGATGAATCCTCTCCGTGTCGCTGGGAACTCGAGAAGAAATCACCCTGGGAGAGTAATCGCCGTTTGGCTTTTTCAAAACCCTAACTCGCTCGCCGCCACCGCTCACCATTCTTGCGCCGTGCATCCCTCTGGCTTCGGGAGGCAGGGGATACTGCATCTCTGGCGGAGGTTCAGGATGCGGACCCGGCGGCGGCTCGCCGGAGTGGACGTGAACAATCGGAGGCGGCGATTCTTCCACAACGACGACCGGCGGCGAGTAAGATCCTCCGTCGGGGCCGTAGTAATTGTTATGCCTCTGGCTGTGCCCGATGTCGCCTGAACCAGGGACTTGGAAAACTCTGCCTTCTTCCACCACCACAACAGGCGGCGGAGGCTGATCTGGAGGCGGCTGACCGTCGTGATTCTCCGGCGGTTGCTGCTGTTCTTGCGGTGGAGGGGGCTGATCGTCGCCATCGGCGACCATCTCGTCGTAGTAACAGATCCTCAGCCCGATCTCGCCGCGGATCCAGCTGAAGACGCTCTTCTTCTCGAGGGCGAAGTAGACGAGCCCCTCGTCTCCGCGCCTCGCGAACTGGGAGCCGTAGAGCTTCACCCGGCCGAGGAAGTGGTTCTTGCGGCCGCTGCCGTTGCCGAAGCGCTTGTCGTTGAGGACCTCGATGTCGAGCTCCTCGTGGTCCATGTTGTTTGGATCGGAGACAAGGAACTCGAGCGGCTCGTTCCATACGGGGTTGAGGTCGCGGTACTTGGTGGAGGTGCGCTTCCGCTGGCCGTCGAAGTCGGCGATGACGTAGGGGCTGGAGCTCCCCTGGCCGTCTTTGGGGAGGAGGTCGCGCGCTTCGATGACTTCCACTAGTAGCTTGCGGACCGTGCGCGGTGGTGGCGGTCCCGTCGCCGGCGTGGTCATTGTTTCATCGTTTTCTTGCTGGTGGCCGGAGCAGAGGAGAGGAAAGGTGAAAAGTAAAGGTAAAGTGAAGAGGGAGAAGCGTTAATAGCGGAGGAGAAAGAGCAGACTGTGGCCTGACTAAGCTGGGCTGGGGATTCTTCTCTCTTCTTCACCTTTTTCACTTTCTGAGGTTCTGTTTTGGGTGGTTTATTTTTATTTTTTTATTTTTATTTATTTACATGGGATTGGCGGGAAAGTGGACAGTGGGAAACTGAGATTCCATTCTCTCTCGAGAAGGTTTCTCTTTACACACACACACAACGAATTTAGGGGAACTTAAATAGTGATAATGTGCAGCAAATAGTAAACAGGGCAATGTCTATTTTTTACTTAAACCTTTTTTAGATTCTTTTATTTTAATCAAACTTATAAAAATTCTATTTATTATCCAAACGTGTTATAACTTATCAAAGTCTGGGCATTCATTATGTTATCGTTACTTATTTTGTTACTTATTCTTTTATTTTAAAAATAGTAAATGATGGTATTCTGACCGCCACGTAGGAAGTCAACTCATTATGGTCATACTTAGTCAACATTACTAACAGAAATATTGACGAAGAGTTAAGGTTTGGATAATTATTAGGAATTCAATAGATTTGGTTAAAATAAAAGAATCTGGAAAAGGTTTGGGTAAAAAATAGACATTGCCCTAGTAAATACACGGGCGGCAAATAACGATTCATTTAAACAACTACTGCTGACTGGCATGGAAATTGGAGAGGCAATAGATTAAGGTTAATTACAAGATTAGATATATAATCTATGGGGAAGCCAACTCTCCACCGGCTCTTCTAAACAGATTTTCTGTTGATATGCATTGTAATAACTAGGTTTGCGAACTCATGCATGTAATAATGTAATCGAAATGATAGAGGAGACTAGAATTTTGTCGATATGCATTGCAAACATTTTCATTTCTAGCATCAATTCTTCTAACAAGATGCAAAATCTGAATCGCTATTCGTCGCCCTAAAATTTTAAAAATTTCGCCCTAAACTATACCAAACTGACAATTGTATCCCTGATTTTAATAGTGAATTCCCACTCCAACCCGAGCCCTCGCGGTCGCCGCCCACCTCCCTTTCTTACGCTCCAACCAAAACACCTTAAGGTAAAGCTTGCTGGCGCCTCTCTTAAATGATAACCATTTGAGAAGAAATCCGTCCAAGCCTCACCGTTGACCGATCCATCAGCCTCGCCGTTGATTTACCTTTTCCCGTTCCCTTGGTCTATAAATTAAATACAAGCAGTTACAGGCAAAGCAGTCAAAATCGGGATTTTACCTAAAATCGAAAACTGGGGTAAAATCGGGATCGTAAAATCGAATCGTAAAATCGTAGGATTTTAAGTTCCATATAGAATCTAACATATAATCATATTAATAAGGTAAACCATTACTAACACAAAGACAAATAACATTGAAAATGATAATTCTCAAGATTAATGTTCCAATATCATCATTTTAATTGTTATTTAATGCGTAACTAAAATAATTCACGAGGAAATGATAGAGCTCATGGAGCTTGGCTCTTGTTTTTCATGTTGTGTTTAGGTAGTTTAACTCAAAGTAGTACTCCGGTCAGGTTAATTTCAACATTGTCCATTAATCATGATTTAAAACTAATAATATATGAACTCTAATTGAATAATTAATGCTAGTGGCTTGGCAAAAATGTATTCACTAATCAATTAATGAGTTAATAATGATATTAATTCTTTCGCATGTACAATATTAGGAAAACTATTTTGCCGATGAGTTCAGCGGGATGAAGGGAAAGAGAATGACCGAGCCATAATTTGGTTATTTTTTTTTTCTTTTCAAATGTTTTTTAATAGAAAAAATATTGGAGAAGATTCCCATCATTGCCCTTTCTGCCAAATCAATTCCGCTTTTTTAAAATTTGTTCAAACAGCCTATTTTGTTCTCATACGATTTTAATCCCGATTTTAGTAAGATTTTACGATTTTAACGATTTTAATCCCGGTTTTAAACGATTTTAAGGTCCACCGATTTTATAGTAAAATCAGGATCGGAATCCCTAAGTAAAATCCTAAAATCCTACGATTTTAAGATCAAAATCCCGATTTTGACTGCTTTGGTTACAGGGTATCTGTTAGCGATCGAACTGATAGAAATAGCAAATCTATGGCGTATGAACTGTGACATGCTTCCCGAACGAGCACTTAAACTTTTTAATTTTCCAAAGCAGATTGGGTTGCGGAATTTGAATTTAACAGACGAGTTGGGCGACGGCAGGGGATCGAGATGGGCAAAGCAGAGGTGGCCGGCGGAAGAGGATGTGGAGGTCACCGGTTGCTTCTTCTTCCTCTTCCTCCATAGAGGTCGGCGACGACAGAGGAGTTGGGAGGGGTTGTTGTCGGAGGTATTGAGAACGAAGGAGAGTAATTAATCAATTGGAAGTTAAGGATAAATTTGTAATTTTGTGTATTTTAGGGCGATAAATTCAAATTTTTAGGGCGACGAATAGCAATGCCCCTTCTTTTTGGCTTAATTGCAAGTTTGGTCACTCGAATTGCTACAAAATTTCACGTTTGTCACTCAAATTAATTTATTTCATTCATAGTCACTTAAATTAGTTGAACAGTCCAATTTCGGTCACTCTCCGTTAACCTCCGTTAGACTCCGTTAACGGAGGCCGTTAAGTGATAACGTGGCAAACGAAAAATCCCAGTCCGCTCAATAAAACACTAAAAAACGATGACCCTACCCGCCACGTCATATTTACTCGCCATGTCAGCCCTCCCTACCCAACCCGCAAGCCAAATCGAGACCCAACCCAAGACCCGACCCCTCAGAATTTAGCCATTTTTATAAGTCTACCCCCTCTAAACAAAGAACGACATCTCCCTAACTATTTGTTCTCTTCCTCCTTTTGAATTTGCCCGAGAATCGCCCCCTCCCCATCCATCTGTTCCTTTCCTCCTCCTCTCACTTCCCCTCTACCAATGGCGGCACCCTTCTGTCACTGTGGAGAGCCAACAGATCTGAAGACGAGTTGGACTGAGGCAAATCCAGGGAGAAGGTTTTATGGATGCAGCAGATATGCAGGTAAGATTGCATCCACCTTTGTTTCCTTTTTAATGTTACAATTTGACTATTATTTTGCCTTTTTCATCCTTTTTTTTGTGCGATGATGTGTAGACAAATGGAGCATGTAACTACTTCAGATGGCTTGACCCAGCCCTTGATGAGCATATGAGAAATGTGGTGCTAAACCTGCGTCGTCGAATTCGGGAGCTAGAGAAGAGGCAAAACAAGGTGTCCAAGTTTGATCGGGAAATGGTGTCGTTCATCATTTTAGGAGCTATTGTATTCTCTTTGTTTTGGATAGGAAAGTGATAAGTCGTCTGTGTAGTTGTAGCTATTGTAATCTATTGATGTGTAGCTGTTGTAATCGAAGGATCTGTCTAGTTGTTGACAATGTGTAACCTAGTATTGTCCATTTCAGCTATGGTCACTTGAATTGCTAAATTGTTTCATGTTTGGTCACTTGAATTGCAAATTGGTATCATGAATGGTCACTTAAATTGCACATTCGTTTCATATTTGGTCACTGTAAATGCAAAATGGTTTTACCTTTGGTCACTTGAAACGTAATGTTGTATCATAATTGGTCACTCACAGGTAGCAGCACGAATGGAACAACAAGGCATGTATTTGTGCAAAAGAACCTTCCAATGATACTGGAAAATTGATAAACCTGATAGTCATTCATAAAACTTATAGTCTTACAAGGTCCAAATGATAATTATAGTTTCGAGAACAACATTTTTCCAAAAGAGCAATTCACCATGACCTAATAGGCTAGCTAATACGACAAAACAACATTCAACTTCTACTAGTTTGTCAATATATCAAGTCTACATTTACTAGCCAATTGGAGGCTTCAAAATAGTAATTATCATTTGGACCTAAACTGTAACTAATCTTCACTCGTTCTCTTGAGTCACTTGGCTTGCATTTTGTGATGCTCCACATCCTTGGCTGAGCTGCTGTGATGTCTAACTTCGTGGCCTCCTAGTAGTTCCCTGCAAAGTTAAAGCAACATAAGAAGATAGTAGGACTTGATTAGAAAGCAAAATTGTACAAGTGAATGGATCAATACATCTGGCATGAGCTGGACAGTGTTGGCTGACTCAATGGCAATGAAGCAGCCGGTTTTGCAGCCCTCTGTTGTCGCCTTTGTAGGGCTGCCAATCAATTCTGCTCTTTTCAAGCTATTTCGCCCTTTTAGCTTCTTCCTTATCCTGTTCCTTAGCATGTATCCTTTCCTCCAACTGTTTCTTCCTTTCTTCATTATGGAACAGTTTGGTGTGCCCAATAATCCCACATATAGTGCATGCGTACTTCCTTCCTCCCGGCTTTGATGATTCCCTTTCACCCTTCTTCTGTTTCTTCTTCCCCTTCTCATCCTCATCGAGTCCCTTTCTTCGCTGCTTCTTTGGTCTGCCCCACTTTTTCGAGTTTGCAACTGGAGGGACTCCACAATCCCCCAACTCAGAAACTAGCCAATACTCCTTGCCATTAGTAGGTGAAATGGAGAACTGGTAAATCTTACCTGCTGTTTCCCTCATGTAGCAATCAACAACATTGTCCTTGATCAAAAGTTTTGCCTTCCTGATTGCCTGAATGGCATGCTCACACGAAATGTCAGTCAACTCCCAATGTCTACACGTATAGGTCTTCTTCTTCAAATTGACCACAACTTGGATGTTGTGCCACCTCACCTCAAATTGACCGTTCCCATTACTTTCTGCTGACCACTTTAATGCTTCTTCAGTAGTCTCGTCTAGCTCCTTCTCAATCTTCTTAGTGAACATAGTTGTCTAATTAGATACCACATACCTTCTGTGGGCATATAATACCATCAAGTTTCTTCTAATCCCCTCCCACATGCATATAGGACCCATATCCCTCTCTTTTATAATCACATTGT